TGCAACTCTTCAAGACCCTATCTCGCATCTCGATAAGCCCCAAAAGTCTAAAACATTGCTCTTTGGACCAACAATATAATAGAATCCTTAGTGAGACTTAAAAAAAAAATAATAATAAATTAAAAAAAATAAAAAATATCATCTTCATCTTCCCTAGCATCTTAAGAATAATAACCAAAATTGGATTCAAGTGCAGACCTCTTAAATTTTCTAGGCAAAAATATAAGTGATTACGTTTAATACTTATCAATTACAACTAGTTTAAATATAAATAATATTACACATATAAAGCTTTCTTATAAAAATATGTATATAAAATGATATGGTTAAAAATAATTAGAAGACTGAATATAATGAGTTTTTGTGATCAAAATCAATTTGGTACTAATTTTGAAGGACAAACAGAAGCAGAGGTGAAACGTCGGTTGTTTTTCAAAGTGAGGGTATCGCTTTGTATCGAGGATAAAGGCCTTTAAAAGTTAATCAAATTAATCAAGATGTAGGAGTAATTATAATAACAGTGCAACGTTATTTCTATTATTAGAAATCATTTTTATGATATATCTTACTATATTGAATCACTAATTGAATTATAATAGAAGTATATTTAATTAAATTGATCTATATTGGGTTTTAAATTTCAACCTGGAAGGCCCAGCCCAGAATAGCAGATCATCTTGTATATGGGCTGAAAAACCCATAAGCGAAGGAAGAAAAGGAAGAAGCGAAAAAAGTAGTGGGTTTCCAACAAATTGATTCTAATTTTTTTTTTTTTTTGTTTTTTTTTTTTTTTCCAGTAAAGCCTAGTGTTTTCTTGTTCATCAGGTTGTTGATTCCATAAGCTTTGGTGCTATCCTTGTAGTAATGTCTTGCTGCTCTTTCTGGTTCAATGAATATTTATGCCGTTTTAGGAGGCAAGGATAGGAAGGATGGGTGATCTTCAGATTCAATCAGAATGAGACCGCAGCCAATTACCTGAACAGAAATCAACGTCTTCAAACCAAAGTTGGTGGACTGTTCTGTGATCTTGTTCCACGTTTCCGCTTCTGGATACCAGTTCATTTTGTGTTCTAGATTTGTGGCTAACTTGGTACAAATTAGCCAGAGATAAGATTAAGTTTTAGAGTTTTTAGGGTAGAGCGCAGAGAAGTGGTGAGGGATGGGAAGAAAAATGGAATGGGCGGGACGAGCGAACCACATGGGAGGATTACCAAGGAAGATAGTAGTCATGGCTGTTGGAGCTTTTGCTAAGACTGTGGCCAATTTTCTCAACACCACTTATGTTCACAATGCTGATGCACTAATTCGTCTTGTTCACTCCAGGCCTCGTGGCGTACCTCTCCTCACTGTTAGTAATCACATGTCCACGTTGGTCTCTTCCTTTGTTTTTTTTTTTTTTTTTTGTTTTTTGTTTTTAACCATTTTTCCATTTGCTTATTTATTATTTTCATGAACGAATCAATCAATCAACAGGTTGGATGATCCGGTCATTTGGGGATTCAAGGGTTTTCCCTCCATGGATGCTAAGTTGGCTCGATGGGTTCTTGCTGCTGAAGATATTTGCTTCAAAAATTCACTTTTTTCCTATATCTTCCGATTAGGCATGCCCCATTTTCTAATATAAGTTTTTGAAGTTTGCTTTGAATTTGAACATGTTGAATGCTTTCTCCTTCTTTGTTACTGAACATTGTATTGTTGCAGGTAAATGCATACCCATTACAAGGGGTGGTGGAATTTATCAAGATCATATGAATGAAGCACTTGAGCGCCTAAGTGATGGAGAATGGGTATGCACTTATAATTGCACAATTTCTACTCTCTATTGTTTATTGGGCTCTATTTCTTAAGGGATTCTTCTAATTTTTATTTAAAATTTATTGGAGAAAAGGGGCTTGTTGTGATTGTTTAAATAGGATTGGGTTTAGTTTCGTCGAGAATCTAAATGAATAGCTTGACGGACTAACTCATATCTTTCCCGTTGTTTTTATTACTTTTCTTCCTTAGTGGATGCTTTGTGCAGAAGGAAGGTTACATGTGCAATGTCATTCTATCCCATGTGAATGAGATCAATAAGAGCCTTAGCTTAGTGGCACAGATATTAGGGATGGGAATTATGTGATATTATAGTATATGATACTTTATTCAATAATCAATGTAAAAGTACTCTTTCTATATCCTCCGTTGTCCCAGTTATTTTTTTCTTTTCAAATGACTTTCATGCTGAGCAATAACCTCTGGTTCTTATTGAACATTGGTTGGACTGATGTAGTGTTAACTTATAGTAAAGTTTCATATTGTGGCTATTTATCTTTAAGTGAGAGATCGGCCAACCAAACTTCAATGCGAACCAGATTTACATGGAGCTGAATTTCTTATAGTGTTTTGGTGTGCATTGATATCTCAGGTTAATGTTCGTTTAATATTGAGGCTACCTCACAATAGTTTAAGGTGTTGTTTTAATGGTCTATGGGTGGATTCGTCGTAGATTTTACACTTGTGATAATCTTTCTTCTTCTTCTTCTTCTTTTTTTTTTCTTTTTTGGTTTGAGAATGACAATTTTTGTAGTTCTGAGGTTTAATTTTAATTCTGTATCCCTTACGGACAGCTACATACATTTCCTGAAGGAAAAGTGTCACAAGAAGATGCACCTATTCGGCGGTTGAAATGGGGAACTGCTAGTCTTATTGATCGCGCACCAGTAACACCGATAGTTTTGCCAATTGTTCATCATGGTTTTCAAGAGGTAATGCTTTTTCTTAAAACTGTCTTTTTATTCTGACACCTGTACTTGTACATGCAGTATACTTTTTGGGCTGGGCTGGTTGTTTGGTGTATATAATTGAGAAATCACCTTTAACGTTCCATCTCAAGCAACACTTGAGGATTGACATGGTTAAAAAATAATCATTAACCTAGGAGTGAATTTTTATAATTGCTTTGAGTAATTTATCTAAATTCAGTGTACTAAAGGCACATAGGCAAAGATTGTTCTTATAGTATCAGAAGCCATAAAAAATATCACTTTTTGGTGCATATGTCATTGTTGCTTGATTTGGCTCATTTTGCACTTGGTTTATGATTTTATAGGTGATGCCTGAAAACTTTATGTTTGGCCGAAGGCCTCCATTTCCATTATGTAATAAGAGCATTAATATAGTTGTTGGGGATCCAATAAAATTTGACCTTCCAAAAATGAGGCAGATGGCAACTTCCATGTCCCGTGATCCATATCCTTGTAGCATGGGATGGCCTGGCAGTGACCCTCATGGACTGGATGAAGCAGCACGGAGATATCTGTACTCTTCCATTTCTGAAAAAATTCGGAATATAATGGAGAGCTTAAGGAGCTCTTGTAAGAGCACTTGGAAGTAAAAGGTTCAAATTCTTATTTTGTTGCTCATTTGCAAAAGCAAATTTTTTATGCATTTTCTGAGTGTTAATTGTTTTTAATCCATCATTCTTGTTAATCCATTAATGGAGAACAGGTTCCGGCATCTGATTCTTTACTAAAGTTGGTCTGAATTAAACAGAAGGCTCTTAGAAACCGTTTGGAACAAGAACATATATTTTGGTAAGAAGTGGAGAGAGGACAGCTGCTGTCTCAAAGAGCTTGAAGCACATTATTATTCCTCCGTGCAAAGAACATAATAAAATTCTTGCCAGTAGGACTTGGAGCCTTAGGAAAATTAATTTTTATTTTATTTTATTTGAAGTATGATTTTTTATTGCTTTAGTTTACAGATAGACAACGTAAATAAAAGCCGAAATTTTTGGTAGGGTTATTTATTGACTGATTTTAGTCTATACATAAGAGCTTTCATCTTGAACTAATTTGAATAGTTTTAAAACCCGACTTCTTGTGAGACTTGGCAAGGTGGTTGAGTAACGGATCGATTGGGCCAACCGGTTGGACCTTGGATCGGTGAGATTAGCAACAAAAATATTTTTGTAAACTTCATTTAGTCCCTTAAATTTGAGTATATTTTCCCTTAAAATTTTTATTAGTCCCTAAAATTTAAATTTATTTCAAACAAAGCCCAAAAAATTACAATGAATCCCTAAAGTTTTAAAATATTTCGAAAGCACCTCTATAAAATCTAACTAGTCCTTGATATTTTAATTTATTTCAAACAAAGCACAACAAAATCAATTAATCCCTAAAGTTTTGAAATATTTTAGAAACACCCCTAGAAAATGACAAAGTAGTCCCTATGAATTTGAAATATAGTAGAAGCCCTCCTAGCACGTAGAACCTGAATTAGATTGGAGAGATTGTCGGGTCACTGTCGGACCAGCCGATCCTGTTCGGGTTTTAAAACATTTTTAATTTGTCATTTAACAAGTGAGGATGTATGAAGTGAGATCAACTATAGACCTTTAACTGAATTGTTTCATAACTAAGAAGAAAGTAATATTTGTTGATCCAAAGTCGTCAACTCAGGAAGGAAGATATATTGATTATATTATCGTAATAAAATTGTTTTTGGTAGAATACAAATTTTTTTTTTTTTAAATGTGAAGTTATTTGTATTATTGTCACAGCTCTTATCACAATGAATTATAACTACCAACATCTTCTCAGTTATTTAGATTCGGTGATAATGATAATTGTATTATTCTCGTTAAAAAAATTTATCATATATACGTATATTATATTTTTTAATAAATTGATATGTATTGGGTTTGGGTCAGACCTGTCAGGCCCATTATAATACTAAAACTGCATCTGGGGTTAAGAGCCCAGAAGCCCATATTAAAAAAAAAAAAAAAAAGAGGATTCAAATGAAGCAGAGATGCAATGACGTATTTGCAGAGAAAAAGAGAGAAGAAAGGAGAAGTTAAAGTGAGTTTTAGCAAATTGATTTTAAATTTCTGCTTCCAGTAAGCTTATTATTTTTCATTCAACAATGTCGTTGATTCATAAGCATTGCTACTATGATTATTTATAATGTCTTGTTGTTTTATGTTTCTTGATTTTTTTTTTTTTTTTTTTTTTTTGGCGATTTCAGGAGGCAAGGATAGGAAGGAGGGGGGGATTTTTGAACCCTACAGAGTTTCTGATCTAGGAATTCAGGTGAGGAACTATGGGCATTTGAGAATTTTTGGATTTTTTTTTTATTATTATTGTTTAAATTTCGTTTTTAGTACTATATGCCAAGTGGAGATCATTTTGATATTAACTTCTTCTTTGATTTTTTTGGTGATACTGTATTAAGGAATTACTCTGTTGGAAAACATTAGGCTAGTTCAATGAATCAGGGTTGTTGTAAGCATGCTAATATATAGTTTTTAACCTGGCCTATTTTTATTATGTGCATGCTTAAAATGCATTTCTGTATTGAGTGGGCAGCGTGTTCGTGTTTTTGGTTCATGGATTTTGAGTTATTATTATGGATTTTCATTTGGTAACTACCTCTACTGCCCATATTCCCAGTAAAGATTCTAAGAATTGATTTCTATTCAGTTTTCAAAAAAAAATAAAAAATAAAATAAAATAATAATAATAATGTTGAGACCAATATTTGTAGGTCCTGACTGCATAAGCCTTTGCAAATCCCACTTTTTCACCTCTCTATAGTTCGGGTGGGACACCACGCCTTTCAACTCTTTACTCTGGAGCTCAATAAGAAATTTCAAAATCAAAAAACAAAATTAGGAGAAAAACAACTAAATATCCTGATGCTTTTTATCTGATTATTTTACCAAGCTTTTGTGTAAACATGTTATGATTTTGTAGACCTGCATCTTGTTCTTAATCTGGGAGTATTTTTATGCCAAGAGAAAGAAATAGACTGTTTTGTTGTGTTCTCAGTAGATAACATTGTCAATATTAGTCATTCATGTGAGCTCTCTATTTAGATTTCATTTTTTTCAAATTATTTTCTAGAGAATGTGTATTTGTGGATAATTGTAGCATCTGCATATTTTCAACGTTGATGTTTTACATTCTATTCTCTTACTTTAGATTGTTTAAACTCTAAAACATAAATCATCCCTCAACAAAGTTTAGTCATGCACATTACATGCATCTATCTATAATAGAGTAGCTTTTGTGTGTGGATATCTGCAGTATAAGAAAGTGCAAGTTTCTTAACATCCTTCCAAACTTTGCTCATGAGAAAAACTTCATGGTAATATTAAATTTTCCCACCCATTCATAATTCGTGTGACATCAAGTTCTTGCTTTGTCGGGTCAGGAAATGGTATATGGCAATTTTTTTTTTTTTTTGTAAGAATAAACATATCAATATCATTGATTGAGATAATCATGAAAGAGTGAACAAGTAGTCCATAAAAGTTACAATCCATTTTAAAGGATCACAAAAAGTTCTTTACGATATAGATTAAACAGCTCAAAAAAGCTGTAACTCAAACATTAATGCCAATAAAATGAAATTAACCTAAAGCCCCTTCCCCATTTAGGTGTATAAAGAAATGGTATATGTAATTGAATAGTGGCGAACATGGATCTTATACTTCCTTTCTCTCTTTCTTGCCCCCTTGTATATTTTTGGTTGGTGATGAAGTTTAAGAAAATTTGAGATGATTAAATATGTGAATCACCTTTTCTTTTGCTTTCAAAAAGAAAATCCTGAAAATTTTGTTTAGTTGTTCTTTTGGTCTTTCTTTGTTTTTGCTTCTTGAGGATTTCAGCTTGGCTTACTTTGTGTTGGTTGTTATTTATTTATTTATTTTTTGTAGTATGTATTGGAATAAATTCGGCATCAAAATCTGCATTTAGTAATATTGATGCAGAGTTTCTTTGCGTGTAGATTGAGTTGAATAAGTGAAGTCTTATCATTATGATTTTTTGTCTTTAGTTCCAATCAATAGACTTAGAAAGCCCTATTGGTGTCTCTTTGGTGATTGATAAGTTTAGTATGTTAAGGAGAATTTAGTTTCCGTGGTAAAGATGTATTGCTGTTTTTCTCCCATGGCAAACTAAATAGTCAATTTTAAATTTGAGCTAGTATCGTTGTTGATTGTTTTTATATAATGGCTTATTATCTTTTTTCTAGGCTTCGGTGAAATCAAATTGACTTCAGTGACTATTGAGGTGGTTTTTTATAGAGAAAATAATGAATAAAGGAGGAGGAAGTGGGCCTACAGCGGCGGCAACAGCTACAGCAGCTCAGAAGCAGAAGACTTTGATGCAAAGAGTTGAAACCGATATTGCTAATATCGTTGACAATTTCAGCCAACTTGTCAATGCTGCCAGGGTATATTATTGCTTATAATTTTTTTTTTCTTCCCTTTCTCATATTGTGGCTCATTTTAATTTTAAGAAATATACTATTGCGGTTGAAAAATGTGATAGTCTAATTCTTGAAATATGCTTGAATGTATTTATAGTGACATGATAGCGAAAGTGTGAAAAAGTTTGTCGAACTTTCATCAATGGGACCATGTTTAAGTTAATTGAATATAGTCTAGAATCCTATGGTGAAGTAGGGAAAGATAAATTTATCTTCTTGCTCGATAAATTTATCTTCTTGCTTGAAATTTTGCTCATATACCTGGGGCTGAAGCTTTATAGGCAAATGAGAAGTTCATTTTGCTTTATGAGAAAAAAAATTTAGCTTCTTTTAGAGGATTTTGGTATATGGTTGGAAATTGGTTCTAGCATGGATAGGAAATGTCCATTAAATTCATTTTTTACATTTGGTTATGCCTTTTATATGTAGGTGAATGACCCACCTGTTAGAAATTCACAAGAGGCTTTCATGATGGAGATGCGTGCATCCAGAATGGTGTGTAAAATTCTTCAAAAAGAATATGTTTTATTCTAGTATCCATTTCCTAGAAGTGATGATTTTGACTTGATAATTATGATCATGATTAATGTGCTTATCAGTTTCTCATTCTTCTTATTCTTAATCCCTTGATGAAGAACAGGTTCAAGCTGCTGACTCTTTACTTAAGTTGGTCTCTGAGCTAAAACAAACTGCAATCTTCTCAGGATTTGCGTCTCTTAATGACCATGTAGAACAAAGAACAAATGAGTTTAACCAACATGCAGAGAAAACGGATCGTATTATGGCTAGAATTGGAGAGGAGGCAGCGGCTAATCTTAAAGAGCTTGAAGCACATTATTATTCTTCTGCCCAGAGAAGCTTAATTTAGGCATTATGAGTTAGGGCCTTGGGAAAAGTAGGATTTTATATTGCTTTAGTTTTACCATAGATTTGTGGAAGCAGAAACTCCAAGTATCTAGTTTTCAAATTAAATTGTGTTTTTAACAATTGAGATTCTATTGCATTAACTAAATTGTATTTATATGTTAATATCCATTATAGTAATGCAAAATGAGTTAAGCAATATGGATTGCTCACAGCGAAGAATCCATTTTATGAGATACACATATACTATCATTGAGGGTTGATTACTTCTCTATGTGATTCATTTGAATTGAAGCATATGATAAGAAAAATCATTGTATTGGTATCTCTCAAACTTTTGTCCATCAGCTTCCTCAGTCTAACATTATTGACTTTTCAGAAATACAAGGTTAGAACAAAGGAACAAAGATAAACATTGGAAATGAAAAATTCTTGTTTCGACAGTGTTGCATTGCATATGGAGGTTTGGCCAAAGTAACTTCGGCCCTCAAGTTCTCGAAACTACAGAGGTACCAAAACATTCGAAAATAGTGACAAAATCACCCCCTAAAGCTGACGGTAATAGAATATATTTATATTTATAAACAAAACAAGTGGTGAGTAGGTGATTGCAACGTGGTACGAGAACAGCAGCTATATTATCCTATTAGAATCAGAGCACAGCAAGAACATATGGAATTTAAATTACAGGTGTTCCGGTGGCAAGAGCATTGGTGTTGCTCATCTCCATTGATCTCTGCTTCTCACTGCAAAAATTCACCCACCTCGAAGCAGCGCTATTTGTCATTCTTTACCAAATCAGCTAAAATAGGTGGTGGTGGTCTGAACTTGAGGCTAAGGCTGAGGCCTGTTACTGCCCTACCTAAGAAGAATGAACAGAGACAGCTGCCAATTATAGACATAGAAGGGCTTGGCCTTGGAAATTCGGGAATAATAATATCTTCATGCTTGGTGGGTCTCTTCACTGGCATAGTCGTGGTCATATTCAATAACGGGGTACATGAAATACGAGACATTTTCTGGGATGGAATTCCGCTTCGGGGTGCTTCCTGGTTGAGAGAGGAGCCTATTGAATCCATTTGGACTCGTGTCATTTTAGTACCCGCTTGTGGTGGTTTCTTTGTAAGCCTCATTAACGCTCTTCGAGCTGCTCTAGATGAAGAAAACATTTCAGATATGAATTTTTATGATTATTTGAAGGCAGCTTTGCAGCCTCTTTTGAAGGCAACGGCTGCTTGTTTCACTCTTGGCACTGGCAATTCCCTGGGGCCTGAAGGTCCAAGTGTGGAAATTGGCAAATCCATTGCCAAGGGAGTTGGGAATTTATTTTATAAAAGTCCTCAAAGAAGTCTGTCTCTCGTGGCTGCAGGTGCAGCTGCTGGAATCTCTTCTGGTTGGTATACTGGTTTATCATTTAGACTCGATATCAATCTCATTTTCTTGTATTATGTTTTTTCTTATGAGTATAATGAATAAGGATACTCTCTTGTTCTAAGATCTCTATGTTTATTATAAATGAATCAAATGCTTGTATTTTTTCAGATAAAGGCTCGTTTAGATTCCATATCAGCACTTCCTTTTGTCATTCTCTTGTATTGAAGTTGAATTTATTTTTATGCTTTGTTCACAGGGTTCAATGCGGCTGTTGCTGGTTGCTTTTTTGCTGTAGAGTCAGCCTTGTGGCCGTCGCCAGCAACAGATACAGATTCCTACACATCGTTGCCAAATACAACTTCCATGGTCATTCTTAGCGCTGTTATTGCTTCTGTGGTGTCTGAAGTTGGTCTTGGTTCTGAACCGGCCTTTAAGGTCCCAGATTACGATTTCCGCTCCCCTGGCGGTAAATATAAATATCTCATCTCTTCCACATATAGATGCATAATCTGCACATTCAAGGGCCACAACACAACTTCGTTTAGTATTAATTGATGATAGTTTCATCTCAAAGCTAAGCATTATTGAATCTTGTGAGTCAAAAACTGGCATAATTTAGTTTCCCCCACCTTTCCCCTATAATTGTTCTTAGTAAATGACCAAGGTCCATCTTTTGCACATCAAATGCTTTAGCACTCAAATGCCTCATCATAACACATTCTAGTAAATAGCTTTAAATTAACGAGTGTATTGTTTTATCCATTACTATTTCTGACCTGGATGATTCTGAGAGCACTTAAGAGCCATAAACTTAAGGTGCTTCCGTTTGCATTTTCACTATGTAGTATGGTACTAGATGTGTTTTCAATAAAATGTTTAATTAAAATTCAACTTTATGGTAATACATGTCAACCCATTCTTTCCTACTTCAATAAATATTTAACGCATTTGCAGCTAGATCAAGAGTCTAATACTGCTGCTTTGATCTCCTCTACCTCTACTCAAACCATTTTTAACACTGCCACCACCCCCTCTACTGCCACAACCTTTCTCGTTTTTCTTTTCGCCATCATTGACAGCTCCAAAACTGTGGACACTTATTTAAAACTATCATCACTGCTGTCATCAAGAACGTTGGTGCTGCCATCACTGTTTGTTGCACTTGTAACTGCAACCATAACCATTATTAAAGTTCTTGTCTCTATTAACATAATATTAACCAGGCTCAGACATTAATTACTTGTAGTTTTGTTCTTTCGTGGCATACATTAAATGCTATCTTCATAGTCAATTTTGTGATGAGAAGCTAGTTAAGTCACTGTACAAATATGAACTTCTCCAAACAAAGGCTTAATACTTCTGGAAGTAGATAATCAAGCCTTTGTTTTAAAGATGATGATTTTAACAATAAAAACTTTTTATCTCATTTTCAGAACTCCCACTGTATCTATTGCTTGGTATCCTATGCGGTTTGATTTCTTTGACCTTATCGAGATGCACAACATACATGCTGGTAATTGTCAATGATCTTCATAAAGTCCTAGGGATACCAAAGGCTGTGTTCCCAATAATGGGTGGGGTGACTGTCGGTCTGATAGCCCTGGTGTATCCTGAAATCCTTTACTGGGGTTTTGAGAATGTTGACATTTTACTAGAATCTCGGCCGTTTGTGAATGGTCTCTCGACCAATCTATTGCTACAGCTTGTAGTAGTCAAGATAGTTGCTACCTCTCTGTGTCGGGCTTCTGGGTTGGTTGGAGGTTACTATGCCCCGTCCCTCTTTATTGGTGCTGCAACAGGAATGGCATATGGGAAATTCATTAATTTTGCAATTGCCCAATCCAATCCAGCAATTGATCTTTCCATCCTGGAAGTGGCATCGCCACAAGCTTATGGCTTGGTACTGTTCTATAACATTTTTTATAGAAACTGGATAGTTTTTTAAGATTTCAAGGTCTGATATACTTCAATCATTTGAAAGATTCTATTTATTTATTTTTAACAATTTGACGAATATGTCTCACCATGCTCTTTTCTGGAAAAATAAAAAGAAGAAAAGAATTCAATGGTTACTTTAGGTCAGAAAAGAATAATATAAATGATACAAGAAAACCAAGAAGTGAGGGAACATTTGGGGTACATTGTCTGTTGCAAAATCTTACCTGTGATTCTATTGCCAACATAAATACATAGACACCAAATTTAATATTCCTGCAACAATTGCACTAATTAGAGTTCCTTGTAAAGATATTAATCTAAAATGGGTGGATTGCATCTAACCAAATTTTCCTACCCAAGTTCTTTATTTTGCTGCCAAACGTTGAAGATTATTGCTGATTTCTTTACTAGTATATTCATAAAGACAGATTGGCCAGCCAAATTAAAAGATTTATAGAAATTATTACTTGTTTCCAGTTTGGGAAAGGTTCCAACTTGATTCTGAAAAGTCACCTCTACTGTGGAAAATAATTTACTTCTCCTTGTTAGAATGTATACCTCCCAAAGTTTGCTGTAAATAAAGCAACGGCTGAAAAGTTCATTTAGTTGACTCTGAGCTGTTACAGTGATATTTTTGAGTTGTTCTGAATATATTGTCATCTGTATGCTCAATACTCTTTTAATTTTCTGTTGATTAATAGGATTTATGTAGTTATCTGTAATTCATGATTGGGTGATTGTCTGAATTTCTTTTGTAGGTTGGAATGGCTGCTACTCTTGCAGGAGTGTGTCAGGTACCTCTTACTTCGGTATTGCTACTTTTCGAGTTGACACAGGACTATCGGATAGTTTTGCCCCTACTGGGAGCTGTTGGATTATCTTCATGGATTACTTCTGGACAGATGAGGAGAAGAGATGTCAAAGAGACTAAAAAAGCTGGACAGGAAAAGGCTCATACAAATCAACAATCTGAGATATATCTCAGTAGGACAAGTGGGTTGTCATCTAATTATTCACTTGCTAAAGAGGAATCTGATGCAAGCAACCTTTGTGCAGTTGAAAGCTCACTTTGCTTAGATGATTCAGATCTCGAAATTGAAGAGTTGGGGAAGAGAATTTTTGTTTCAGAAGCCATGAGAACCAGATATGTGACTGTTCTAATGACCACTTCCCTTACGGAAGTGGTGACTCTCATGCTGGCAGAGAAGCAGTCTTGTGCAATGATTGTTGATAATGATAATATTTTACTTGGTTTACTAACACTTGGAGACATTCAGGACTTCAGCAAATATGCAATAGCAAAAAAAAGTATTAGACATAAGGTACGGTACCCTTTATTTATATGTATTTCGTATATTACATAAAGGAATAATCTGTTCTATTCAAGATTGGTCTTGAAAAACTTCAGGATACACCAATATCTATCCATTTTAGTCCATTTATTTCAAGACAAGGATTCAACCTATCACTTTAACCAAGATCCAGAACTATTTGTGCATTGTTTGATGGAACTTTAGAACTGCTCACCGCTTTGAGCTTAAATAACTTAGCACCTCTGAAATCTGAGTCATACTAGTAGTAAGATTAGGAGAAGTGGGAAATATAAAAAATTTGGTTGCTTTAGAAAATCAGAAAAATGGAAAGGTAGGGAAAAATTGTGAATCACGAATTATTGTCAATGACAGAGGACAAGATCCATTCTTAATTTAAATTGAAAAAAAAAAAGGGGCTCAAATCGGTACTTGGGATCATTTACAATTGATTGGTAAATGGCAAGGTACTTTTCCCTATAATTGAAAATTATTAATTTTGTGACATTTATAAAGAAGATTTGTGAATTACTGGCATTTTGCATATATATTCATGTATTTTGAAGCTAAATAAGTTAAAGTTAGAATTCCGGTCATATTTGTAGTATT